TCCCCGACCTGAAGACTTTAGCAGAGATTTTTTTTTCTAAACTAGAACCTGTTTCCAGCTGCCTACTTCTATATCTAGCTGCAGAATTTCTGTATGGAAAACATATAATATGAAGCATACGTAAGAAAAGGGTCAGACTGAGAAAGAAGTGTAACTATAACCCCACAGAACATAGTTGTAACAAATGCTGGCTGGCTTTCAGATGTACTGATGGCTTGTGTCACATCAGAAGCCCACGTTCCCACTCCTTTGAACAAGGAAAAAAAGCTTTTCTAGCACTTTGTGGCCAAATTTACCTTCCTTTTTTCCTTATTGACAGGGCTGTAATTTCCTTACTGTATACATTTATTTTTATTTTGAAGAAATCTAGAGAACCGTAACATTTTTGCGTTCAATTTCTTGAATTGAAACTGTTAATTGATACAGTCATTATATAGCGTATTTTCCCTGTAAGGCCATTATTGCTTGTACAGTATATCTGGTGAGAAGACGCGCCTCTTTAAATTTAATTTATTTTTTTTTTTAATTGCAGTTATTCCAACAATATAGGTATATTTATATAATTACTAAAATACATGTTTATTAAATTTATTTTTCTCAGAATGTTCATTTTGAATCAGAATATATTCAGACAAAAAAATGTGTAGAATCATTTGCTGCAAAAATACAAGTATTTTGTAGTTGGCATGTTAAGGGAATGCTGTACTCTTAAGTACCTTGTGAATGAAATCGTTTTCTCTCACACAAGTTTTATTGGGAAAAAATAATCAATTTAGGTGCTCTAATGGAATGAGCAATAGGAAGGACTATACAGAAAGGCACACACCATTTTCCAATTATGTTTAAATGCTCAGATATTCAGTACTTCTGTAAATATATTTTAAAAAGAACACTAAATTGGTAGTGATAGCATTGCTAAACTATGCTATTGATTTGTTTTAAGGACTCCCGCTGTATATCATCACATTAGCCGGAGGTTGTGATTGCTTTAGAAACTTTAGAAAAATGCCTTAAAGTGTGTCAATTGCACATCTGAGTGCCAATTTTAATACAATTTCTTGTGTTCCTGACCCACTGATCTCTCTGGGAACCACGAAGCTGAGCTCACCCTGCAGCGCAGCCATCTGCACTGGGGAGAGAGAGCTGAAGGTAGTGGGGCTGGGATTACAGTGCATCATCTGCTCAGGTCATCCTGGGCCTTTCGAGTTTAATCAGGCTATCTTCATCCTCCATTACACTCATTAAGTCCTGTTAGGTTAGTGCTCGAAGTTGATCTGTATCTTGGTCAAGACAATTGCTGCTGATTAACTATAATTACCAGTAATGGTCCCAATCTGCTTTCAAACAGACTGCTGCTGTCATCTCCAGGCTGCTGCTCTATGATGAGCAGTCCAGATCTGCTTCCCACTGGCTGCCTTGCTGTCTGACCCAGCAAGTTGCTTCTTGTGTGGGCTCAGCCCCTCACCCTTGTACTTGCTGCCTACAAATACCCGAACCTCCTCCTAAGGTATGTAAGAGGTAAAGGTAAAGAAAGGAGGAGTGTCTGGTATGGTGAGGGGGAAAGAGCTGAAGCAAAGAATTAAAATAAAATACAGAAAATGACAAATAGCCATGCAATATATGAATGATGAGACTCAATGCTAACAAAGGAATCAAGTCCTTTGTACTTTGCAGTTCAAAGCAATACATCATAAACAAGAGCCCAAACTAAAAATATATTGTGTGTTTAAAAAAAAAAAAAAAAAAAAGCCTTCATCTGAGCCAGTTTTCCTATGTATGTCAGGTTATTTTGGGAAGAGTTGTCCTAAAGATCAGACTTTTATGTTCAAATATTGCTACAGCATTTATCTTTTAGCTTGTGGATGGTATTCTGGTTAGCCTTATGAAAACCTCTATATGCTGAGTCTCTACCATGACAATAAATAATCATGAGTTGAGTCAGAATTTATTGTTAATCGTAGTATGAATACTAAGGTCATGTAAATGTTTACATTCTCAGTTCATAGTTACAAATAATGCCTGCTAAACTGACTTTAACTACGAATAATATGAGGAATAAAACAGAACTCTTGTTATTTATGCCTTTTTTTGGCATAATATAATCTTTCTTTTTCAAAAGAAAGATTATATTAAACAAAACGAAAACCATTAGCAGAGTTTCAAAATAATGGTAGACAGAAATGCTACTCTAAACAGCTAGTACGTTTTCAAAGCCTGATGCATGTAGCCATGGTCACAGAGCCCAGAATTTGGGTATGCACCTGATACTGCAGTTCAGCACCTGATACAGCAATTCAGATGAGATTTTAACTGTAAGCAATTCTCAAATTAATAATTTAAAGCAAGATATTTATAAGGAGGGAGGATACAGTAAAGTGATAGACATTTATCTTAAAAATACTCCTTGAGGATAAAAGAGTCCTGCTTAGTTGCAAAGCTGAACACTCTAATGCTTTAATGCATTTGTTCTTGCAGTGTTGAATTGCACGGTTGATGTTTCCACTGAAAGCACTGAATAAAGCAAGAGAAATTACTATTTTCATGTAAAATGTCTACACAGTAGTTTATATATAAGATTAGCTGTAGAACTGTGAAGGAGTACTAAACATGGCCTTTTCTAAATTTCAATATTTGGTTTTGCATTCTACATAATTCTTTTCTAAGATAGTTGCAATATGCTACATTGAAAGAAAGGAAAAATCACTGAATTTCTTGTGCTTTTCTTGTATCGTGAGTAAAATCTATCTGAAGTTGCAAAGCCACTTAATTTTATTGATACATCAAGATACATGCCACTTTTAAAGATGACTGCTCCTGCCATCAAAATGCCTCTGGTATCTTTTGTCTTTATGTGGCAAGACATAATGACAATCAATACTGTTTTACAGCTGTTCTACATCTCCACAAGAGATGCATATTTTTCAATACCACAAGACACAAGTCGTTTGTTTGATGGTTAAACAATCTGGAAAGGAAAAATATTCTCTAGCATATGTGGTGAGTGCAATGGGTCTGATAAATTGTAGTAGTACTCATTTTTATCTGCTCAATCCTGGGATGAAATAGCTTTCTTTTATGTAGCTTTCTTTGAAACATATGCATCTCAAACTTCATCATAAAACGATCTTTTATAGCACGCTGAGGATCTTTCAAAGTGCAATACACAAACATGGTATATCCATATTTATATACCGTAGTCAGATTCCTGTAAACAAATGTACACTGCATGAATATGCGCTCAGCTTCTGGGAGTATTTATGTTCTTAATGCATGTGTGCTTTCAGAATCTATGCAGTTATATAACTAGATAGTTGTGCATGACCTGTGTGTGTTACAGATGCACAGCTAAAACGGTACACGCTTTGCATAGTAGTTTAATTTTTTGTCAATTCTGTGTTGAACCAAGTACTGGACCTGTAAAATCAAGTCAGTTTCCAAGTAAGAAACTCTAAATAAAATTCAGCATAGAACAATTTTATTAACAAAATTAACAGTAAAAACGGTCCCATTGTGAATGTTAAATTTCAGTTTAAAGAGTGGCCCATATTTAATAATAGATGTAAGTAGGATTTTTTAGATAGATGTATGTGTATATATAAAATATTATGGATTATTTAAAAAAAAAAAAAAAAGAAACAGTTACCTTTGCTGTTTATAGGAAAAAAAAAAGTTTGCTGGCCAGGAAATCAAGTCCTAGAAAGATCAAATCCTTTTGACAATTTATCATGCAATAAGCCATGTTTTCCAATTGAGATGTGAAGTTGTGGTATTGCAGTATGTGGTCAATCAAGATATTTGTTTTTTATTTGCTGTCTCTTGCAAGAACGGGGTTATTAGCCCCTGAAGTCTTGGTTACATGCCAGTTTTAATAAATACACTTTGCCTACATAATTCTCACTGTAGCTTCAGGTGGATTGTGGAATTTTCTTCACTTCCTGTCATAAATTACTCTGTAGTGTTGCTGTGCACTGTGCAGCAGCTGCAATACTGCACTGCTACTGTTCACTGCTTCTCCCCAAACTTCTGACCCTTTTTATTTAATCTTTTTTTTTTCTGTTGAATTTGTATCAGTATTTCAAACAGCACACATCACAAACTGTTACTAAACCATTATTATAAAAGCTTAAGCTACCATTTTCACACTGCATCTTTGATTTCTGCTTGACAGCCTACAAATGGATTATCAAAAATTAAAAAAATATTTGAAGGAAACAGCATCAATTTTAGGTGCCTTGCTTCCTCTCTGATTCTCACCCAATTTTGGTAAATGGGGATTAATCAAAGTTTAAAAGCATTTCAGAAAGCCTGCACCCACATACTGCCATCAGCCCTCTTCTTGAATGTGCAAGGGAAGCTGAGGCAGAAAGGCAAGGGGGAGATTATATAAAGTGTTTTTTTTTTCTTGCTGCTCACCAAAATACTATTCACTGGATTTTTTTAAAAGTACTTAGTATTTTCACTCTTTTCTGTTCCAGTTTTGTGGGCCTCATTGAGGAAAAAGATGCCTGCTATTTACACTTCCTCCAATAAATGATTACTTGATGAGTGTCATTTTTTTAAATATTTTTTTCTATCTGATTCATTTGACCTTCGTAGTAAAAGTTTGTTCAAATTGTACTTAATAGCTGAAGCAGTACCATTTTCTATTTAGGACTGACTGACAGTAGAATATTCTAGCTGAGAGCTGCAAAGTCAAACCACAGACTGAGACACTGTACAGACTGAACATCCTTGGGCTCTGCCAGCAGACTGTTACTTGCAAAATATTATCAAATCTAACTATGAATTCTGGAATAACACTTTCTTGGCTATGTGTATAGGCAATGGGGAGTGTAGTTACTATGTTTACATTTCTTGCTGGAAAGTCATAATCAGATGCTTGCCGGGATGCATGAAAAATCTCTCCTATGAGTATTTCCTGGCAGTTGTGCATGTAAGAAGTGCTTTCATTCATCAGCATACTTTGTGCTTTATGTCCTTTAGGCTTCACTGTTCCAAACCTGACGAAGTAGGAAGGACTGGAAATTGCAGCACTTTCCAGCAATGCTTTTTCCATTGTGGCAATGCCCAGGCACTGATTTTTGGGTTCTCACCTTGGTGCTCTTCTTTCCTTCTGACAGAACTGCAACTGTGTAAGTCGTGCCTGCAAACAATAGGGTTCGTGTCTGTCCTGTGGATGGGCAATAGTGCAAGGCTGGAAGGATGGAACTGCACAGCTGCAAGGATGGGCAGAAGCTGACAAGAGCTCCTTTTCTTTCCAGCATTGCTGATAGGTTTGTTTGCAGGGCCGTTTTACACACAGGCTATTGAGTGTGAGTTCACTTGATTTTCTTTAAAGCACTGCTGAGGGGGAAGACTTTGTTACCTACTTACAAGGTTTATAGCTTGTAGTTTCCTAATTCTAGCTGAATAAATACAAATGAAACTGGGTTTTCATCCTCGTTTCAAAGGAGTTGTATTGCTGTTGTTTGTCAGCGCAAACAAGTAATTCATGAAACAAGGCAGGTAAAAGCAACACTGAAATTGCATTTAATGCTTTATGTGGAAAAAAGTCTTATTTCCTTCCCTGGGAGCAAGCTATGTTTAAATATTTATATTCTGAAATGGTAGTATGCATGTTATTTGTGCCATGATTTTGCTTCTGCTCTGGTATTTGTGATGTTATTTTTCTACTCCCGTGCATATTTGAGGGTGTTTACTGCAACACATATCGCCTTCGTAGTCCACGGCGGCCCTTCGGCCTCAGAAGCCGAGGTGAATTAAGTTTACAAAGAGCTCTAGACGCCCGTGCCGTACGGCGCACACCGGCCCCCGCAGCGGGAGCGACGGCGCTCCGCTCTTGTCAGGCGGGCTTGGCTTTGCGCGGAGCGGGCGCCATTTTTCGGCATTCCGCAAGCGGGTGCTGCCATCTAGTGACCGCCAGCGGGAGGCGCCCGCCGGCCTCCCCTCAGCTCCGCGGCTGCGAGACGGGAAAGCGGCGTTCCGTATACCAGTACTCATGGAAGGGTTTGCGCCGAGTTGTACGGAAGAGAAGGGTCTGTCCTCAAGGGGTGTCCCGAAAAAATGAGGTCAATGAGCCGGCTCTGCTGTCGGCCACGCAGATAGCAAAGCCTCGGTGTTGGGACGTTTTTATTGACAGACATGTTTGTTTGTGATGTAAAGTTTGAGGGTGCTTCTGATTTTTAAAGCTTTTTCTTGAATAGCATGAGTCCAACATGCTTTGATGATAAAAAGAAGTCCTGGTATCCGTAGGCATGCTTTGTAACTTGCTTTTTAAGGCAGGGTAAAAGGACTTGGTTTCTGTTTGATTTAGAAATTTTCCTGCAGTTTTCCCAGTCCAGACCTTGAGCCAGGATGCTCCTAGCAATGATAAGCATCGACAACCAGATCAACAGGAAAAGCCTTTTCCCATTAGTCAAACCAAATGACATACACTGACATAACTGCAAAAAAAAAAATAACCTCAGTATTAGTTTAGTTTAACTCGAGAATGTGGTTCTTGACCCAGGAGATCATGCTGTTTATATACATATATATATTTACATATCTATATACATACGTGTAATTAACATCATACTGTTGATGAAAGCTGTGAGTGCATTTATCTTTCAAGTGCTGCATTTCACTCTCTCTTTTGCAGTAGCACTAGTCTGGCTAAGGGCCTCTGATCACTATGGGCAGGCTTAAAAAAATTCTTTTCTCAGATCTGGGCAGCAGCAGTCTTCTTTAATATCCTGCTCTCCTGGGTCTCCAATGAGAACAGAGAGAAGAGTTTTGCCCTTGATATTTAAAGCAAAAACCCGCTCTTCCAATCAAAAATACCGTAGCACATTTTCTGCCTTTTGTAAAATTGGATTTTGAAGCTGAAGTTTGTGTCATGTTGAATACTTTGCAGCATATTTTTTTGAGGGTCACAAAGCCGGTTTCAGGAGGCTCTTCACGTGCATTTCTCTTCGGGTTAGAAATCCAATGTGGTACGTTCTGTTTAGTGAGTTTTCAGGAACATTGCCCTGTTCTCATCTTGATCTCTTCTCTCTCTTTTCCAGCACATGTGCTGGGGCACAGATAGACAAGTGAAAAATCGAAGAGGAAGGTTTTGAAGAGAGAAGAGGCATCACCTGGGGTAAGTGAGGGACGATGCTGGGGGAAGGATGAAGTGAGTCAGCATGACACACGTCCTCTTGGAAACCACAGCAAGATTTTCCCAGTGCAGCGTATGAGACTCTTAAAAGCAAAATCCAGACAGAGTCTGTCTCTTTATAAATCTTTTCTCCCTTTCCATTACCAGTTGGGTATTTTTGGCTCTAAGCCACCTGATTTTACTATGATTTATTAACTGCTATGCATTATATATGAGATTCAGGTTTACTGAAGAGTTACCCTTACGGTCAATGTTGCATACAAATCAGCTACTGTTAGAGAGGTTTATTGCATCTTTTTATGTGACTAGGAGTTTTGTTAGGTAGTGCTAGAATTTGTGACTTGTAAAACAATGCCTTCCAAAAAAAAAAGGAAAATCCTCATCTGTGTTTCACATGGTGCATATACCACACGACGTACATCATATAGCACTATTTGGCTTAAGATCGTTCCTAAAATCCTGAACACTTGGACAGGGAGGGGAGTGGACGGGAGAGGTAGAGGGCTGTTTTTTCACGAAGTTCCTAATAAGCATACTACAAATTGCTGAAAAAATTAGTGCTTTGTACTGAAAAAGAAGCGTGTGGACAAATGAAATATGGGAACAGATGTTCTGCTGGGTGGAAATATAGTTTGCAAAACTACCTGTGGTTTAAATGGTAATACAGCTTATCTGAGTAATGCTGCTGCCTAAAGAAGTCACATGAGTATGTGTTCCTTACTACTGCTCTTTCTCACATTGTTTGGTGGAAGCTCTGCAACATGCTTGGGCTTTTGTCTCTAGACTTGTCTGTGGATGTTCCAGTGCTGAGCAGAGTCTCTTTTCCAACAATGCTTATTTCTTTATAGCATCTTTTCACTTTCTATATTTGTATTAATTATGCTCTAAAGTAACTAAATCTGGGGTTAAAAAAGAAGATGATTTTCAACTCAAGAATTTTTATTTATTTATTTATTTTTAAAAGAAAATATGCTTCAACGCTTTAGGGATTTTTATTTTTTGCAAAGGGCAGGGGGAGGGCATGAAGAAGAAAGACGTCCTTCATATTTTCCTTCTCCTTTCTTTCTCTTTTCCCCCATATAATGCAGTGAGTTGCAGAGGCAGAAATGACTATAGGGATGTCAAAAGGATGTGGGGAGGATAAAAGCTGGAATACAGGGTTTCACCGTGTCTGAAATTTTACTGTTACATTTAAGCCACAAGCACGGCAATCCGTTTCAGACTGACATGTGTTGTGAAGCGTTTGCGATGAAAGGAGTTATTGTTAGGTAAAGCCATTTTGTCATAAACTTGCTTTAAGGAAATATTTCTGATTTTGATTCCTCACCAAAGACGCTCTCAGCAATCTACTTAAGTGTTTACTGATGTTGCCCTTTTGTATGTTTTCCTTACATTATGTTCCATTTTTTAAAAAGTCTATTTAGTAATTTTAAAAAAACAGGAAAAATAATTATTTGAATGAACTTTTTGCCAACTTTTATTGCAAGTTTATATAATATTCCTAGAAAGTAGTTTGTAGAGGGCCATGTTACAAGAACAGAAAAGTCAGGAAAATGATTCTTACTTTTCAGGATACAAATTTAGTATCATTTCATTTGTTCCAGATATGAATAGCTTGATAGCTTCAGGCAGTTTGTAACTGACTCTCCTTTCGTTGTTTACTCACAGTTGAGCTGTTTCATTTTGTTTCATTCTATTTTTCACAGATGAATGAAACAATCTATTACACAGAACTTGGAGGTGACTCCTCTGTGGTGTCCAGTTACAGGCATTTAACCAGACAGACCACAAAAAGATTTCAAATTAATTTCTCATCTTTGTTTTGAGTTTATTTCAGGCATTTTATAGATAATACAAGCTTCTACATTTGTAATATATTAGATTGTATCTCACTAACGCTGTCTTCAGAAGCATGAGTTGTTTTATACACTGACAAAATTGAAGATAAATTACCATGGGGGAGGAAAATGATTTTTGCGGCTTTGATTTCACCTTGTCTTAATGCAAGGCTGATGTTGACACACATTGTTTCTCTTTCACTGACACTTGGAACTGACACAAGGCTCCCTCCGCTTGGCAAAGCAGACACTGTTCTACAGACAGAAACCTAATTAAACAGAGTGCTACCTCTGGTAGGGGTGTTTATAGATTCACAGAGTTCAAGCAACCAAAGCAAAGCATTGGTTTTCAGCTTTCAGATGCATTCCTGATAATGTGCTGCATAGGGTGTTCTGTTGTTGCAGATTGCTTGTCTGTTTTCTGAGAGCAGTGGTCTTACAGGAAGCCAAACATGATGTAATGCTTAGCTGAAGCAAATATCCCCATTGTATGTCACAATGTGTTTCTCTTCCACATTTTCTGTAAGTTAATACTCTCTCATAATGAAAAATTAGTGAAGAGAAATAATGTGAAAAAATATGAAATGTTTAGCAGATGACGAGAACAATATTATTAACCACTGGAATTATACAGCTTGATGAAATCACAGCACTGAGGCAATATTTTGACTGACTTGTTCGGTTTCCTGTGTGAGTGACACAGCAAAAATTTCATGGCTTCTTACATTGGCATCTCAAACTCTCCTTGTTAAAGTTAGTGAAAACATAGCAGTCTCTTCCTCCCCTGCCATTTGAGTATAAAAGGCAACGTATTATTTCATCTCTTATCTTCTTACAGTCTTCATCAACTCATTTGTATGTTTTTCTACTTTGTCTATGCTGAAGAGTAGAAAATCCCTGCCAAAATGTGCAGATCCAACATTGCAAGAGGTGTATTAGCTGTGCTTTGAGGCTATGTATCTGTATTTCTTGATCACGTTATACAGTTATTGGCGTTACTGACTGAACAGACAAAAACAGAATGAATGGGTAAACATGATGATATTTGTGTGTATCTGATTATCCGTATATTGCATAAAAAGTACTCTGCTCAGCACGTAATTGTGAAGTGTTCCAAGATAATCTGAAGACATGTTGCTATTTTAAGGCAATGATATTGGCATCTGATATGGTGATCTTGTGCCATGCTCTCATAAGATAGGTTACTATGTAGCAACAGTTCAATATCATCCTTTGGACTTCTCTGATAGACCACTTAACTATCTCAGCTTTTCCAGTGATCATCTCATTTATCTAGGATTATTGCAGTGAATTTACTGTTTGGTTTTCTTCCAGAACTGAAATGTCAAGTCCGGTGTCATGTATGCAGTAGCTTTGTGCTGTGAGAGCTCAACAGATCCACCAAAAGCTGCTAGTAGTTGATCTTTGGATAGAGCTAGAAATAAATAAATCCTCTTTAGCAGATCAATATTCATCCCATTTAATGCTTGATGCGAAACATGTGGATTTGAAGTAGTAATGCTGATGTACAGCTAATCGTTGAAATGGGCATTAGGGCTTTTATAGCATGGCAACATATTGTCAGGCAGGAAGGAGGAAAGTGGTGAGTGCATCCTAAGGGGGGAGAAGAACTCCATAACTATATGTAATTTAATGCACATTTGTAATCCACAGTGTCCCCTACATTGTAGTGATTTGCTAGGATACTGACTAATATTGTACATGCAGTGTTTATTCCTGGAATTCACTTAATAAAACAGATGATTCCCCCTTCAGTGGATCTTTGAGTCTAAATACAGTCATACAGGCAGATTTCAAGAAATAACTTTCCTCCTTAGTACTCTCATTTCCACTAGTTCCTTACCTATCCAATTGTATGCAAATATATGGAATGCGTACTTTCCATGGTACAGAAAATATATATTCAGTAGTGAGCATGCATATGTATTTCTGTAGACGTGTATGACTGCCGGTTAAATTGCTGTTCAGAATTTGTATTGCTCAGGCTTGAGAGAAACCAAAAGAACAGTTTCCAGAGAATGGGTAATACATCAGTAAAAAGATTCTGGGGCAGTTGAAAAGCATACTTGTGATAGACAATTTTTTTCTTTAAGATGTGATTTGAGGGGTTTTGTTCTCCTTAGTCTACTGTAGTAATTGAGTATTTAAAGCCTTTTTTTCTTAAAATGAATAAGTGGAAATCTTACGATCTTATGAATTATTATACTACAGCAGATAAAGATGATATTGGCAAATGTGGAAAGCTGAGGGTTTTCTTCTGTGACAAAGCTATGCTCTGATCTTTATTGTCTTAATTTCACCATGCATAGCTTAGTAATGTTTTACCACTCCAGGTATACTCCAGGTTTCAAGTTCTGCTGCAGTTTCCAGATGTGCTGGCCAGCACATACCTTCCTTAAACAGTAATGGTGGACAGTTACTGTAAGGTGAACTCTCTGAAAGACCTCATCCCTTTGGTGACTGCAGGAAATAGCCCATGTCTTTTTAAACAGGCAGAAGGACTTCACCAAAGTTAAGAAGTCTCATCATCCTTAAAGATAAAGGAGAAAAAAAAAAGGCATTTGATTCATACTCCCATTGTGTAAGTGATGTTGGTATAATACACAGTTACAAATGTTGTGTAACATGATAGAGTACATTTGTGTCAAACTCTTTTTCTGTTATTGCTAGCTGTTTCGCTAAGGAATGTTTTAATCTTAGAATTACAAGAAACCTCTAAAGAAATACCTACTAATGCAATGCCTATTGGACTTCTGCACCTCTGGAGATGAGATAAGGAGTGGTAGATCTGTTAGCTCCCTAAACTCTTCTAATCTCTAATCCAGTTTCAGTGACCATAATATGAATTGGTAAGAGTGATAGGCGCTTCTCATGTTGCTTACCATAAGAGGGTAATTTGTGGAAGTGCTCACAGAGCAACTTCTCTTTAGGTCTGTTTGCCTAAACACAGTGTATGACCTTACATTAGCATGAAGAGAAAGCAGGGGACATGTGTACAGGTGATGACTTCTCTGAATTAGTTGGAATTTGTGAGCAAGAAGTTCTCCATTGTGAGAAAGAAATGATTAGTCTGAATGCTGTATATCTTGTCTGTTCTCAGTTTTGTTCTTACTTAATGTAGTGCTCACACCTCAGTTATTTCTTTTGTATTTAAATCGATATTTTAAAGAATCATAAATTAACTTTGCAATACATTATTGAAGACTTTGAGAAATCAAAAATATATTTTGGTTTACTGTATCAAAATCTCAATCAAACAATCAGAAATCCATTCTTCTGCATTGCTTCAGTGAAGCTGTTTTAGCACTGATACAAACCCTTCAATTTCTCCCCAGCACTGAAAAGGGCTGAAGTTTTCCACTATTACAGGCTCAAACCTGATCCTAGAAAAGACCCTTACACTGTATGACAAAGCCAAGGAGCTATTAGGATTCTGCACTGATTTTGTGAAAGATTCTTTGAAGTTCAACCTGCATGGCCCATGTTTTGTTTGTTGTTTTTTGTTTGTTTGATTTGGTTTTTTTTTAATGTCTCTTTTCTGAATTTTTGTTTTGTTTTTCATTCTGCTTTCAGAGCGCATAGACGGGTTCAGGCAGGAAGTGCTGCCTGAAAGGCTAGGCCAAATCCAGAGGGATTAGTCACAGCAAAAGGCTGCTGTGTGATCCTGAGTTACTTTCTTAGTAGTGTGGCAGAAAAAGAAAACACATTCCTGGATGTGTACAGATTTTATGCAATGCAAATCCATCAGACAGATGGAAAATGAAGTCACGTTGATATGGTATTTAGGAACATTCTTGTCAACACAAATGCTGATGGTGGTATCTTTTTCTTTTGGTTTTTAAATAGCAGGTGATTTTTATGAAACATAGTCAACATTTCTATAAATCATAGTTTCCAATGACAGCACAGCAGATTTATTTTTTTTCTGCTCTGGCTTTTGGAAAAGCATTATGCCTAAAGGGGAAATGAATGCTGCTTATTCAAGGTAGTAGTTCAAGGGCAAGTTTTCACCCACTTAAGCCTAAGCTGAGAAAGGAGAGGCTATATTTCTTTTCTTTTTCTTTTTCCCTTCTGCTTCATTTTGCCTGGTGACCAATGAAGCAAGTTTGATGAAATTGTGAAGACTTTCAGCTTTTCTGTCCAGCTAATGTAAAAATTAACTCTTTGTTGGTTTTTTTTCCCCTGGTGTTTTGTATCCCCTTAGAATCAACGCAGAGAATTATTTGGAGATACCTTTAGATAATTTCTTATGTGAACTAAAAATTTATAAAAATTCCAGATTTATTTCCCACCAATTTATTGGAAGCTTCAAGAGTAAAGACAGTAAGGAGTGGCAAAAAAAAAATTAGAAGGCTGCTTTGGATTTTTGTCTAAACACCTTTAAAGAGAAATAATGAGAAAATTTTAGTTATCTGGGGAGATCATCATAGAATGGCCTGGGTTGTAAAGGACCACAATGATCACTGAGTTTCATCCCCCCTGCTATGTGCAGGGTCACCAACCTCCAGACCAGGCTGCCCAGCGCTACATCCAGCCTGGCCTTGAATGCCTCCAGGGATGCGACATCCACAGCCTCCTTGGCAACCTGTTCCAGATGGGGAGTGCTGCTGCAGTTGTGATGGTTTTGCTGCCAATGTCTTTTTTTTTTTTTTTTTTTTTTTTTTTTTCTCTCATTAATACAAAATGCAGGAGAGTTTATTTTGTGTGTTCTACATAAGGAACAGTTTGAAACCTCCAGCTCAGGTAGATTATCATGTAACTGTCGTTTCTGCTGAAAATCTCCTTTTAAGCTCTTTCCTACAGCCAAGTCACTTTTAGTTTTTCACAGTTCAGAGAGGACATCAGATATCCAAATATCTGCATACAAGCACCATATATTTGCCTCACTTAATGATCTCGTGTTCAGAGGTCTAATACCGAGGCTGAAAGAGTGAGCTGGTACAGAAGAGACAGAAAGAGGTCTTGTGTTATACTGGCGTGAAGTCTCCCTTCCTCCTCAGCTAAAGGTAAATGACAACGCAGGGTTTGGTGTTTTTTTTCTTCCCCTTTTATAGTTCTGAATACAGAAAGAACAGCAGAGGGAGCCCCTGCATGGCTTAAATCGTTGGTCTTGAAGAAAATGGAGCAAGCGCCTGCACAGGGTGCCAAATCTCTGCCGCCCTCTCTTGAGCCTTTCGCTTGAAGCAACAGAAGGCACTGACAAGAGCAGCCACCCTCAAACACCCAAATTTCCTATAGTAACTAACTGAGATTTAGGGCACAGATGCTGATAATGTCATTCTTTTGGAGTAGCCCACATTGTGGCTGTAGTGTGGGCTGGGCTTATTGTCACCTGCAAAGTGTTCTTGTGGAACACCAGGAGATTTGTTTAATTACTTTTATAATTATATATGAATCTTTTGCATATTAATAGGCTTTCATACTATATGTGTGCATGGCATGCTGGGAAAATATATGTATATTTAAAAAATTATATAAATATATATATGTAAGCGCTGATTTTTTACATGGAATTTATATATATATATAAGTATATATAAATATATATATAAATTCTAAGTATTGATTTTATATGTAAATTCTGTCTTTTTAGCATTTGTTTTCCATCAGTACCATTTGTGGAGCCATTGAATATTCTCCTACAATGTTATATTGTAACATTCTTACCAGCAGTAACAGATACACTGTTTTCTTCCCCTGATTGCTGTTGGCATCTGACTGAACGCTAACAAGGCATTTGTGCAAGCCAGAGCAGCAAATCTAGAATCAAAATATCTCTAAGTTTCACTCTTTAAAGATGTGCTGAAATAGCATTAATTTTTTAATGATAATTTTTATTTCACAGGGAAACAGTGTGCTGTTGAAGAGATGACAATGCATTTCAATTGTAGCTGGTCAATCTTTTTTCTTTTTTCTTTTTCTTTTTTTTTTTTTTGGCAAATATTTTAAAATTCAGGATGTGACTCATCAATCTTCAAACATTCCCCTGAACATATTTATTTTGAGACAGAGAGTCTTTGAGGTTCATATTAGTTCCTCAGTCAGAGTTGGACACAAAGAACATCAAGTTTTTCAGAGAGGTTCCTAATTCTCTGTGAGAGAAGCATAATCCAAATGCACCAGCAAACTCCCCTGGACTATTAACTTGGCCTTGTTTCTCCCTCTCAAAAATTTTGAAAGGACTTCATTTCTACTCTAGTTTGGGGAAAAATGTTGGGGAAAGTATCAAAAGCTTGCTAAGATGTGGGAACTGCTTCCTTGGATGAATTTATTATGATGAAAAATTATGTGCAGATAGCCATCCTTATTGCTTCTCTGTTAATCAAAGTGAAAAACACCGACATCTCAGAGGCCACAAGAGAGTTGGAGTCAAATCATACTCTGATCCTTACAATCGTACCTATATTTACTACCTGTTTGGTTAGAAACATAGGAGAATGTATTGTGTGTACAGATGAGCTTGCTCTTTATGCAGAGCACTGTGTCTATGCAGAGCAATCTCCAGACTTTCTTGCAGACAGGCATATTCCTCCACCCAGTTCCACAAGCATTGCTGCATCTTTCTATTTAACAGTTTTCATTGCTGTGTGAGCACGGGATTTGACAGGATCAGAGGTTACTAGCACACTGCCTTTACTGCTGTTTCACTACGGCCAGTGAGCCAGTCTTGAAATCTGTATTTTATTTCTTCTGTGTTATTGTTAGTGGGAGATATATTTCGATCCTGTTCCTGCTGTCATTATTTTATATAGGCTCTTGTTAGTCTTTTGTGTTTCTCATCTACAGCCTCAGGTCAATTTGAGTCTGATGGCTTTAAATCCTCCTTCTTTCAAATATGAGAGTGTTGCTAGTCTTCAGTTTCACCTTTACATCTGTCCTGGAACTGTAATTACATCAGACAAATTGTGTAATAGTGTAACCAGCATTGACTGTAGACATATCTGATCATTCTCCTTATTGTATTTCTTGAAATATAACCTGTTTGATTTGACACTCTTTTAGATACTTCTACCTTTTTTTTTTTTTCCCTGTGATAGTTCTAGCTGTAAAAACTTACTGTGAGGGTCCAAAATTGTCTTCTAGGCTTTCTTTACTTTGCCATCAGTCACTTCTGTTTTTCCTTCTCAACTTGTCTATCCATTGATTTGTATAGGGCATCTCATTTTGTTTGTGTCTCATTTGTGCTTCTTACTGAATACTACAAATCATCTAAGAGATATTATAAATTAGTGCTTGAATGATGCACTGTGTGCTAATTCCCTAGCTGAAGCTAATGATCCATGTCAGGGTAGTATTTGATGCAAGGATCTGTACCTTGAGCAGATTTTAGCCTATCTGAACTGTGTATGTACCCAGCAGATTAAAAATGCATATCTCTCAGCTCCAACATGAAATGAAGCAGTCGTTCTTTGTGTGTGCCTACACCACCCAGAGGTGTGTGTCCTGTAGAGATCAGAACAAACAGGTTTCTTTATTCTATATAATGGGATTTTATCAATTTCTAGTGCATTTCCTAGATGCACTAGGAGCATTTTAAATGTTCGCCCAACCTAATTAACCATGTTTTCATCCTTCATTGAATGCATCATCTGCTCATACATAAGCCACCCAAAGATCTTGTGTTGTTGGTTTTGCACAGGTGTAAGATGATAGGGATTTGTGCATGTGGTTAGCTTTTGGGAAATGAATTCCACTGAAGGCAGTGGAACTGTTTGTGTGTTTAACTTTAAACATGTTTGAAAGATCAGATCCCTAGTGGCCAATTCTGTTTCTGATGAACAAGCAGAAATAAAATCCAGCCTCCATGGCAGAACTGCAGAACTTGTTAAAGGAGAAAAAAAAAGAAAAAATTGTCTATTTTTCCATTAAGTAGGCAGGCTTTTTATTGTTAGGCTGAGTGAAAAAACCTGTCTTTTGTGTAGAGCAGATGAAAGGCGTTAGATGAACTCCTGGGCTTTTGCATTTTTCTAAAAACAAGTCTGTTTTCAGAAGTATCTTTATTAGAGTTAATTCCTTATTGCTTCGTACATTTTGAATATGCTCTGGGTGCACCTCGTGCTGCAAAATTCACATTGTTTCCTGCTGCTGTTTGTTTCTAATATCCAATTTGATTTCTATGTGAATTTGACACTTACCAGTAATTCACTTCTTCTATGAACTTGCTTGTAAAATCCTTCTGGTTTATTGCAAATTGCATATACAAAGTTATGAAAACAGGCACATCTGTTCAAAAGGTTACACAGAAAACTTGTCTATTTATTTATGCAGTTTTGCAAGGGAAGCCTATGATAGGAAGGACTTATTCCTTTTTTGTACAGTTTCCTAGTACTCACTGTTTGATGCTAAATAAGTGGGATGCAAGTTTTTCTACCACAACTGAAGTAGTGCTGGACAGGTTATACTAATTCCCAACGGGAAAAAGTGTTTACTATTTGTCATTCATCCTTCAGCTATAAGAAACTGTTATTACACAAAATACACAGACGTCTCAGTGCTTTGGCACCTGTATTTCTTTTCTGTTTGACAGAATGGTGCAACTCAACACAGAATGTACTGTGAAACAACTCTAACACTAAAATCAACATTTTTCTGATCATCTGCCACATAAGAATGTCTTGATTACGGCTCAGTCAACAACAACATTACATGGCCATCATTTCCTTAACCAGAAGACTTCAAGTCTGCATACCTGTTCTGTTTGACTATAAAGAATAAGCATACAAAATGCCAGCTTCCTAGTTCAAGGGTAACAGAAATTAATTGTTCCACCTACTGATTCATTAGAAGCATTTGTGTATTACTCCAATTCTTGTCTGGCTATCTTTACATTAATATGTTTATGAACTGTGTATAAGGTATGTGTATTTGTAGTTAACCCTTGGGGATAACCGAGCTATTAGTTGCGTTGATACATTTGACATGTAAGCTCTGGGAAATGTGAAGTACTTTTACCACATGCTGCATCATGTTAAGTTTTTGAAACACTGTAGCCAAAGAAAATACGACTTGACTTAGTGAATTTTTCTCTATGAAGAATGAAGGGATCTTAAAACATTGTGAAGCCCCATGTTTCTCTCCAAATATGTCCCACAGTAAAATACTATGCTCATAAATAACATGAGATGTTTTTTTCTAATTTGTTGGTCTTAAGCATTCAGCCTACTTTGCTCTGAGTTCAGTGACATTAATGGAAATGATTCTGCAAGGCAGAATCTTTGTGTATGTATCAAGTCTTTGTGTATGTATCCATACATTCAATTTTTCTACTTCCACCCTAGTGGGGTTCAGATTTCTGCTACAATGGATGGCAGAGAAGTTATAATCCAAACAAAAACATGTTTGTGGCAATACTCACCAGCTCTCTGCTCTTCAGCAACTAGTAAGTGATAAACCTAAGGAACTCTTAGAACAGGTAGTGGTCATAGTGTGGCACAAGTAATCCATGTGGGGCTGTTCAACTTCGCACTCATCCTTTCCTTCTCCATCTTTCTCCCAGTGCCAGAAACATCAAAAACTGAAAACAAGGCCTGCTATCTTGCATTCAGTTGCCTCATGTAATGGCAGTGTAATGACTCTTGCAATGCAATGTAAGGCAGAGTTCAGTACCATGAGCTGCTATCATGGGGCTCGAAACCATCTATATTATGAGAAGATGCTTTTGTTCTAGCAGAGCATGCAAGATGTTTGACCTTCCCAAGTAGAATCGCAAATAATATTCTGAATTACTGCCTTTTGGTTTGAGTACATTTCACATTCTATACTAGACAAATTCCATTTACTTTTTACTGGTTTAGCTTTACTATTAGCTTTTTACTATGGAAAGCCTTCAGATTAATTAAAAGATTGGTTATAATTCATTAATGTGCTTGGGGGGATATGCTTCATTAGGGTAAATTCTTCTTTAAAGCGTGTATTCTTGTACATATACATATACATATACATATACATATACATATATAAATTTGTATTCTGTCAAGCAAAGTGCCTTTGCGGTACTACCCTTGACTGAAAGTCCTATGTGGTGGATTGAGTGAAATCTTTGATTTCCATATCCTATCTGCTGTATCAGGAAATAAACTGATCTAAATCTTTGGTGTGAAAGAAAAGGGGAAGGTTTGTTTGTTTCCTAAG